TTACAGGGATGAAATTAGTTTAACAAATCGATGGTAGCCAGCTCATACACCTACTCAGGCTTCACTTGAAAGGCTTCTGGGAAGCAGTTGATTCAATGCAAACTCACTAAATCCTTGCCTTCAACCACAGCGCAACAACAGCGCGTGTAATAGATACATAAGTCATAGTCCATGCAAGTCATTGGGTAATGTTTTCTGGTCTTTTATGCTGGTCACAGAATTCTTGTTTTGAAGCCGTGTGTAAGTTTATAGTCTGCTAGTCGTGATCATCGAATTATTCGGCACATTTGGTAACTGTCCGTACTTAAGTTTCAGAGTTTGCAAAGCTATTGGCTTGCTTTTTCTAAACGAGGATAGGATGGTTAAGATTCGAACAACTTTTTTAACATACTTAACATGTTACTAACATAACAGAACTAAAGAATAAAATTGACTGCCGTACGAATAATAAAGCTTAGTAGCTTAATAAAGCATTCATGTTCGAAATACCGGCTATGAAAGTCGGGTTAACTGTTCACTGTGAAACGGCTAAAAAAATAACTGTTAACTTAGAATTCCGTACTTTTTTAGCTGATAACTGAGATCGACGGGATAACTGATAACTGTTTATTCTTGATTCATAAATTTAAAAAAAATGTGATTTTTTTAATTCAAAAGCTATTTGAGGCCATTCACCAACATATCGCCTTGTGTTAGTTGATACTCTGTTACGTATTTATTGTTGATGTAGTAGAGTTGAGATGACCTTTGATCACTTTCCGTCGATTTGCTCAGTGGACGCTTTGGCCAGTATGAATAGTGGTATCGTTAAAGTTCTTGTTAGCTATTATAGAAAGGACGAGGAAGCTCCGCTCGAGCGTCACCGAAGTCGAGTACCCATTGACTTTGCTATACAATTCTCTGTGACACAATTAAAACAGCATTTAGACGAATTTCTTGGCCTCAAGGAGCAGGCAACAACGCACGGTCTTGTGAATTTTCACTTAAAGCTCTACCGGCTTTCAAAAGTGCCAGGAAAGATCGAAAACTACGCCGTTAATAGTGATAGTTTGTGGGCTTTAGAACTGCCGATTCTTTTGGGTGAGGAAACAAACGAATTAAACGGTATGTATGCGTAAAAAAGTTATAGTTTGTTTGCTAATACACGGGCATTTATAAAGTAGTTGTCTGTCACAGCAGGTAGTCAATAATGAGTTAAAAAAATTAAAGATATATATGTTCCATAAATATACTGAGCTTTTTTAAAATTTCAAGTAGACCTTAATTCCATCGTTTTCTTTTGTGTCTATTTG